AGAGGGAGGAGGGTCAGAGGGAGAAGCAGACTCCCTGCTGAGCAGGGAGCCTGATGCGGGACTCGATCCTGGGACTCCGGGATCATGACCTGAGCCGAAGGCAGTCGCTTAACCAACTGAGCCACCCAGGCGCCCCAAAAAAACCTTATTCTTGAGAGTGTAAAGGTAGAATGATATACTATGACATTATTTATGTAAATTTAAAAACACAAAAGAAATACTATATATTGCTCATGGTTATTTATCTCAGTCTATATAGAATTCATATATAAATTTGTTAATATATACATGTATTTTATTATTTATTAATATAGACCTATATTTACTAATACAGAAAGTATATTTATTTACATATATAATGAAACATCAAAATCAAGACTGCGGTTTCATTTGAGGATAAGCTGGGGTGGTGACAGATACTTCAACTTTCCTATTTTATTATTTTTATTAAAAAGAAAACATATGAAGCAAACAAATATATTAACACATATCAATTTGATTCTGAGTATATTTTCTGAAATTTTCTGTCCTTTTTTGGGGGGAGAGCCTCCAACATGTATTTAAGTGCTAAGACAAAGACATTTACAGTCAATATCCAGAAAGGGGTACTAAAGTTATCTGCAAGGTGTGACTAAAACACCTTTCTGAGTCGACTTGGTGTTATAAAGCACTTTTCTGACAAGCTCATTCAATTGGTTATTGACAAACAGATTACGGATTTGAAGCCCTGATTAGGTTACCTGGTTGAGAATATTCCAGGATGCATGCGAGAGTGCTACGAATTAGAGCTGTCCACTGTTTCTGAGTGTCCTCAGTCTTGGCCATTGAGAGTGTCACGATGCTTTTGATCCCTTGAAGCGCTGCGCTGACTGGTGGAGGAACCTGATTATCTGCAGACTTTATCGCTGTGTCTTTCAATACTCTTGCAATTAAAAACAGAATCGTGGGCAGGATTGTCATACACCCTGAATTGAAAACAAATCAGATTACCTCATAACTACTCAGTTCTCATATTACAGTTCTTTCAATTGTTTTTACAATTGATTGTGGTTTAATATTATTTTTTCCCTTGTTGTTATGCAAAATTTACTGCATTACTACTACTATAATTCAATGTTTGGAAAAGGAAAGTGAGAAAGTGGCAAGGTATATTAAAGAAGACAGAATATTTTCCAACTAGCCTTGTTTTATTATTTCCAATATTTCACCTATTTAATACATTGTGCCTTTCAAAATGAAAATGAGAAAAGAAGATAGAAAAATGGAAGGGAAGCACTACCATATACTTGGATAACTATCTGAGCAACCTGATGAATCTGGTAGCAATTCTAAGACATGTAATCAATCTTCAGCGTACTCAAGTCATCTTTAACCAAGCTGGGAAAAACAATGAAAAGACTATATGGGTAAGCAAAGAAAAAATGAAAAAAACACTGGAATTTGCAGCCGAAAGAACTTTAAGGTCATCGAATCCAACCTCCCACTTCATGGAAAACACTCAAAACTTTCTCAGGCTGCCATTCTGCTTGGTCTGCAAAGCTCCAGCAACGGAGAACTCATTATTTTCACATCTATAAGCTTGTGTTGGGCTGAAATTTACCTTTATACTACTCATACTATTTCTCCCTTCCAGATAAATAGAGGGAAAGTCTATGTTTCCATCCAGTACTTTTCAGGTATCTTCAGACAACTATCATCTTTGCAGCTATAATTTCTTTAGCTCCTCCTAAGAGTTGGTGGTCACACTCATCTGACGTTTTTCAGTTTGTCAGTTCCTCAAGAGTGGAAACCAGATCAGAAACTAACAGGTTTAGTTATCCCACCATATGCCTGTCTGCTAATGTTCAGTACCTTGCCTCAAACTGTGGTTCTATCTCCTTGCTGAAGTTTGTCTGAAATGTATCTGAAGAACATCTTAAGTTTTGGGTTTTTTAAATCCTTAATCTTTATAGTCTCCTAAAGGTCAACACACCATAAAAGACTAACTTCTCCTTCCATACTTATTTAAGAGGAAAATAAGTTCATAATAGCAGTCGAAATCAAAGGCAAGCTCATCTTTGTCTATTGTAATAGAATGCATTTCCGAATAGTGATTAATATCGTACCAGCAGGCGAACAAAGGGATGGTAAGTCAGAGAGTATGGTAACTGTGGCTGCCACCAAACGAGCACTTTCTTCTGACAGTCGAGTTCTGGTGGCTATGTGACTGGGTGAATCCGACATCTTGGTACTGAGATGCGGCATATGCCGTACTAAAATGAACATCAACAGCTCCATAGTTGCAAACACAAGAGATTTTCCAGGAACAAGACCACCGCTGTCACCGCCTTCTCCTACTATAGGACATGATTCTTTTTCCATATCATCTTCATCTTGAGGGAAAGAAAATTCGGTAAAATTTCCAGAAACAAAAAAAAAACTAATAGAACAGAGTAGATAAAACTACACAGTAAATGTATTTGGGAAACTCTTTTTTTTTTTTTTAAGATTTTATTTATATATTTGACAGAGAGAGGCACAGCGAGAGAGGGAACACAAGCAGGGGGAGTGGGAGAGGGAGAAGCAGGCTTCCCG